AATCAATAAACCAAACAAGCTGTGACAAAGGCAGCTTGCCCCGAACCCCTTATACAATTTCATTGTGTGGTAAAATGGAATCATGAGGATACACGGATTATGTTCACTTTTATCGGACTCGTGTTTTTCACGATGTGAGCTGAGATGTCTCCTGGCGGCTTCTCCAAAGTCTGCTTTACGATTGAAACATGATCTTGTAGAGTTGTTCACCTTCTTGTTCTCGTGGATATCGATTTCAGAGATGTCATCTTGTTCCCAAGAGTTCGAAAACAGAGTTTCGCGTTTCGATGTCAGTAATTTGGTCGCGAGTTATTTTATTTAGAGTTCAAGATGTAATATAAACATAATCTGCTTCTGATTCTCAGTTTTTAAGGGAACTGTAGCCATTTTAAAATTTCATCTAGAGGGAAAGGACGGTTATTTGTAAAGAAGAGCGAGAAGGTGCATAAATCATATGAAAGGAAATACCATATTATCGGGTCAACTGTGACGTTCGCGAACCACAAAAGCAGTTCCGCCAGAAGTTCTACAATTATTTTAAGTAGCTGTATTTTTGACTCCGAAAGACTTAACACACCGCCGAAGTATTGCATCATAAAGCGCAGTTAAATGTATTTAACGTAGATGCGTTCCGGTTTAAAGAATCATATCAGTAGAAGAATGTTTCAGAGTGCAGATAGAAGGGTTCCGATACCAGTACTGAAATGCGAGTACAGTATACTCCGAGCAAAATGTTTCTTAAAATTCCTTTGTAGGCTGTGTGGTTGTTTGTGTTTTGTCCTCATGTTACTCAGATAGTGCTGCCATAAAGATTCTGAATTTAAACAAAATTTAAATGTTAGACCCTTTTGAATTTTAGTCTTGTGGAACAATGGGTAGATTTCACCGTCATATGTTTTAAAAAATATGAGCGTTGTAGCAGTCTGTAATATGCGAAGAGAATGTTGAAGGCGATTATCAACATCATCGCTGTTTCGTCGTGAATCAGTGGGAGTTGAGTAACGTTTGAACTCGGTTGTCTAATTCTCTTTTCAAAGGTTAGTTGGAGTAAGGAAGGTGCACGCGTATGTTCTTTTCAGAAGTTGTTACAGTCAAAAACAAGATATACCATTCAAAATCTCAACTCGACAACAATAATGTACTTTGGTACAAAAATTGAATCCGAGGCAGGTACATCTCTGAGTAATAGACTCCCCTAACCTCTCATGACGCTCGAATCAAGGTCACCCTTGTTGCTAAGTCACTGCTTACGCCAATTGCGCAAAAGCTGTGCAGGTGCGAATATAACGTATTCACAAGCACGTCTTTCTTTGTTAATTTATCTGAAAAAGAGACTGTTCGAATAACACACAAATCTTGGAGGTACTGAAACACAATATTAAACAGACTGTTGCCAGCACTGGCTTTAAAACACTTCGCGAAGTCGCACGAAACACACTAAAAGGAGCTGATGATTTTCGTTGAGCGGGTGGTTGACATTTTTGACATCTACTCTAAACCTATTCTGTAAGTTATTCCTAAGAATGAAAACTGAAGGATAATTTGCTTGTTGTGTTATATGTGATGTCACTGAAGTATACAGATACTGTTGCAATTAGGGTTGAATTTTAAATGGAACACACTGTACTCAAATATTTTGTTTTTCCAAATAGCATTGTTCCTGCAATACGTTTCCTTGTATATTTAGTAGTGCACCTCTTGAACTGATAATTACAGATATGTGACAGATCTGGTATGTTTAGGGTTGGTGTTAGATGGTGTGAGGGGCTTGAGATATCATTTGAGGGGGCTCAAATTCTGAAGTTGTGCCTGGGCATATCAAGGATCAGATAGTGTTTCATTTATAGTTATGACTGAATCTGCGTGACCTACTGGTTTCAATATTTGTAATATATAGCACTCTTTTTTTCTTTTTTCGCAGTACATGACAGAGAAGATGGGTGGAGCGGAAGGGACACAAATGGATGTTGACTTTGTGGACATGGAGAGGGTAAATATTACAATCATCATATATTACCCACAGTTGACAAGTTAGTGTTCAGAATAGACCAGAATAGACTTTTTTGTAACTGGCACGTGTCAGTAGACTTGATACAAATTTTTAATTTTATATCAGAGAGCTACTACACTGTGACTTTTTATTAATACAGAAGTAGACTGTTAGAATGATGAATGCTTTCTATTCCTGGTCTAAATAATGCATACTAATTGCTCTGAAAAAATTCAGAAATGGTATCTCTTATTATTCCTTAGCATTATAAGTAATTACTTGTATATAATAGAACTGTGAAGCTATGCAAATCAGTGGACTAGATAGGAGTCACTTGCGTCTTACTGCACAGAGCATGCTTTTTACTATTCTGTTGTATCAGCTTAAATCAGAGTATTGTTACTTGATAAATTTTGTCAAATTTCAGAAAACAGATGTCACAGTCGAACTTGTAGAAGAATTACAAATCAAAACCAAAGAGTTCCTTCAGCCAAACCCAACAGCAAGAGCAAAGATGGCAGCCGTGAAAGGAATTTCGAAACTTAGTGGTCAGGCCAAGGCAGCTACGTACCCACAGCCTGAGGGAGTTCTGGGTGATTGCATGGTCACATATGGGAAAAAGCTTGGCGATGACAGTGTGTTTGGTGAGTTAAAAGACAAGCTGGTTTAAGTAATGAGGCTAATGCAGAATTTGTTGGCATATTGCATTGTTGCGCTCATATTTTAAAATTTAAAAGTACGTATACAGATTTAAGGATCTGATGTTGGTCTTCAGGTTGTAACACCACGTGGACTTGTAGGCAGATATCAATGTTTCAGAAGAGTAGTACTTCCTTCTTCAGGGCTAAAGATAGAGGCAGTATGTTCCACCAAACATTGGTGTCTACCTACAAGTCTTCACGGTGTTGCAACCTAGAAGGCCAAAACACGTAAATGTGTTGTTATACTGTTTATATTTCGTGTCATTCTGCACCAGAATTCAAAGTACTGGTAAATATATCATTTATTGAATTACATCCTGTATGGCAGGCCTATGTGCTTGCAGTTATGACAACATTTCTAATAATCATAATCTGCATTTTTGTGTAATTAGAGAAACTGTATCACATTACCACATAAATGAATAAGTGTCCAACATATATTTCAGTTTCAAATTTCACATGGGTAGTTAGTTACATGTGCCTTGCTCAATAGTAACTTCTGCAGAAAACTTACGTATGTTATTGCCCACAGGAGAAACAACAGATATTGTTTATGAAGAAATTCAGTGTTGAATTTTAATCGTTGGAATGTGCAGTATGGCTGTCCCATGTAGATTTTCATTCTCAAGAATAATTTATGTTAATATTTTCCTGTGTTAAACATCATTAAAAGATTGTTAATAAAATTTATTATTTAAACATACTATTTCCTCTTTATAGTTTTTAATACTTAATTTCATAAATTAAACTGCAACATGAATATATGGTTTCTTTTCTGCAATATAATACTTTTCATAATTCACCACTTTGTGTTGCCAATCGTCTGAGGAGGAAGGACATGCCGTCTGCTTGTATGAGTATTATTTTATGTGTGTTTCTTTCCTTGTAAATACGGGTAGGGCTGGCTTTAGTTGACTACTGCAGTAGCCATGTATGTTAAATTTGAAAGGGTCTGAACATTTACATGAACATGAACTGATTTTTAGAGGCCTGTAAGTTAATTTTCTTAAAACTGTATATTATTCCATATTGTTAGAGGCAACAGTTAAATCAGATGTGGTGACTATTTAAAAGAGAATTCAAGATACAAGGGACTTCTTTCATGTTGCCAGGTCTTATTAACAAGAGAGAGATTCCAATTGGTTTTGTATTTCATTTTGTAAAGCCATAGTTTCCAACATTTCCATGGATGTGGGTTGGCATGTTTTGTACAAAAAGTAAAAGTTAGGGAATGAGTTTTCAAAGTGATTGTATGTTTCCATGTGAAGACTAAAGTTTTAAGTAAAACTTCTCAATTAAAATTTTACATTATTTGTTTTCAGGTCTGGCACTGATTGAGATGGGAGAGTCTATGAAACAGATGGCAGATGTGAAGTATTCCTTGGATGACAATATCAAACAGAACTTCCTTGAACCACTACATCATTTGCAAACTAAGGATTTGAAAGAAGTTATGGTAAATTTACATTCCAGATGTTATTTCATCACACACTGAATTTCTGTTCCTATACTGCTGTAGTCAAGACGTCTTTTTCTGCTTTGAGAAGTGGATAAGCAGGAAAGGTTCATTGTCAACTGAGGAACTGATGTGGGTAGATGGAGCAGGTGGATATATGAGTATTTAATAATACCTACATTATATGAGTGAATGCTAATGTCAGAATGTGAGTGTAGCTTTTTGGGTGTGTAAATGCACTGGAATTTTTAAAAGCAATTTTTTGCATAGTTACTGAGCAGAAAACCAATGTTTTAGAGACTGGGGCATAACCAAAAATTACTTATATATCAGTGCATCAGTGGAGTGCCTGTTTGTCATTAATTGTTAGAGAGCTGCAGGAACCTGATCACCAAATTCCGTTCGTTGCCACAAACTTGCCCACCTGCAACACTCATAGGTGTAAGGTTTGTTCCTTGAATCCTGTCTGGTTGGATAGTCCTGTCTACCCCACATACACCTTCCCACACTCTTTTGGTATGCTATAGACCCCTGAGTCCTGCAGTCCTAATTTGTTTTCAGTTAATTGTATCACACACACGATTTCTTCTTAGCCAAGTTGTGGATTATCTTTGTCTAATTTTGCAAGTATCCTGCTAATTTTGTACAACGTAAAGTAAAAAGTAAAGTTTGTCCCACTCTACGCCATGTAGGTGTTTGGGGTGAGTGGAGGTATAGCTCCTCTCTTCCTTGACCTCGGCACTAGATGGGGGTGAGTGGTCAGCATCACGCCCCGGCCGGCTTTACCCCCGGGAAAGGACCCCGGTACCCATTGGAGAGGAGGCTGGGTGGGCCCCAGAGCCGGTCTGGATGCAGAGGCTAGAGGAAAAATCCTCTGCCCCCGTCGGGGATCGAACCCCGGTCGTCCAGCCCGTAGCTATTCACTATACTGACTGAGCTATCGCAGCTCATAATTTTGTACAATGTATATATAAAAAGTACACAAACCAACTGTAAATACTTTAAAACGCATTGCGCCAGATGCGTTTCAACCTCATGAGGTCATCATCAGTGGCATGGCATATTAAATCAGTCCATTGAACCATAATAAAGTAAAGTTTGAAAAATAATAGATTGCCACACTGGTTGCCATAGTGTTTATAAAACCCCTGCACACCTTCCGAGCTGACACGCACACATATAAATCCACGACGATCCAGGTCCAGATAGCGCTGCCACTGCTCATGGGGGACTACAACATAAAGCCACAAGAGAGACTTCTGTCATTAGACATAGTGCTGCAACACAAGAACGCCTCCACCTCGAATAGAACAATGACACGACCCAGCGCACATGGGTGACTCAGTGGGATAATACACTAGTTCATGCGCAACACAAACTATAAAGTGTGGTTTATAAACATGAGTTAAAGGAGCAGGGCACCATCTTTATACACAGTGTTTTGTGACAACACATTGTTGTATGAACTATATTGATTTTATGGACTGATTTAATATGCCACACCACTGATGATGACCTCATGAGGTTGAAGCATGTCTGGCACAATGTGTTTTAAAGTGTAAACAGTTGGTTTGTATACATGTTTTTATATATAGAAATTTGATACTACACGGTATGCAAAGTTTTAAGATTGTACAATATAGTCTGTTAAAAGAACAGTATAGCAACCCCAGTTGGGCTCTTTTGTTTGTGGGCAGTGTTTAGTACCTGCTGTTCAAAATATTCCATAAAATTAGTCACCATTTTGAACAACAGGCACTGAACACTGCCCCTAAAGAACACTCTAGTTGTTATAAGTGTGTGGAATAGGAGTTTGTACAAGATTTGACATTTACCTAGTGTGTTACTGCTAGCATACTGCTAAGCAGTTATTCCATAGCTAAAGTCTTGCCAGCATCCCCTTAGTTTTGAGGCTTAAATCCCCTATTCGTGTGTGATATGGGCAAACAGAATACAAACGAACATCAAGTTCTTTATGGAAATATAAAATGGCTTGCTACCATAACTAGATGTACCGGTGACCATAAAACTAGAAGACTGACTAGTACAAACTCATACATATCTCTTTCCTCACACAGTCACACCATCAGCATCACAAAAAGTATGCAATTTTATCTACACTTATTAACTGTAGCATGATGCATATGAATGATGAAGTTTGACATCCACAGAAAACATTACAACAGACTTTGATAGAATTATATGTCCTAAACACAAGATACTAAAACAAAGGAGAGTGATTCAGGTGGCACGTTTGTATTCCAGTAGACTACTTCATGTAAGATTAGCAGGATACTTGCATAATTTTACATAAAGGTGGTCGGCATAATAGCTAAGAAGAATATACATCCTTTATGGCCAGTGAAGGACAAATTAGGACTGCACAGCTCAGGTGTCTGCAACATTCTGAGTTTATAAAAGTGTAAGAACTATCCATTGTTACAAGATGCAAGGAACATGTCCAGTACTGTGTGTATTTCAGGTGGGCAGTTCCACACAGTGGAACATTTTGAAAAGGGCTGTCAGATCAAGTTCCAAGTTGCAGAAGTATTAGTTTAAACATTGGTTTACATTGACCACTTCTCAAAAGAGACAATCAAAAAAAAAATCTAAATAACTTCAGTTATGAAGAGTGCTTTAAGCTGAGCCAGTTTTGGAATAAGCAGATTTAACAACATGTGCACAACAGGCCTACTGATGGACTAACATTGTCCAGCTTAATCAACACTGAGGTGAAAGAATGGCTGCTGTCTGCACTTAGTGTGGAAACTGGCTGTTACGATGCTACTGCACCCCAGTGTGGTCAGGTTAAGCAGCAATGGGCAAGGACAAGCTGACAGATGGGGGACGACTCTCCAGGTTATGTAACACTGGATTAGTCATAGAATGGGAGTGTGGACTGTTCAACTTGACCTTGCTCTTTCATTGCCCAAAATATGGTGCATGAGGAAGAGGCATCACAATAATGGACTGATTATATCAGATGCCAGTTATTTGATCACTCAAGTAGATTCTGGTGGTGATTATAGAGACTTATGATTTTATAGCCAAAATATTGTAACTGATACATACCACACATGTCAACACATATTTACATTTTTCTTTTGTTATTGATTACTGACTTGAGGACTTGACACACGATATTGTCTTGAAGGAGCAAGTATTTTGCTTTTCTAAACTGTTCTAGTAGTTATTGCTGCACCTGATACCTTTGGTACGGTAGTGTTCACCTTGTAGATCTCTGCCATCCTTGTTGCGGTGGCCAGGTTATCTGTTAGACATACTCATAACACCCTTTTCGACACTGTTGTTGTGGCCATTACCTCCAATTGTCTTTCTGACCTTTCTATTCTCTGTCAGCCTTTTAACTGGTGTAGGAGTCAGTTTTCGAACTGAGACAGGCTCTGTATTCCCCTTTCTTCAATTTTTTGTCTGGTATGTTTCAGCACCATCGGAAGAAACTGCAAGGACGAAGGTTGGATTTTGACTGTAAGAGAAGGAGACAAGCCAAAGGTAGACCTCAGTTCAATTCAACTTTCTTTCACTTAAGAGTAACTGCAGCTAATAAAATGTGTTATAATGTTTCATAGATGGAACAGTATCGGTATGAAAGGTATGAAACAAAATTCTTCGTTACACTTTATCTGTCTTCCAAATCTATCTTGTTTTTTAAGTTTATTTTATAGCATGATATTTGGATTACAGTACTATTATGTTATTTTTATTTCTGTGCACTGAATCACAAGCATAATGTTTGTTTTAGCTGCATTAGCTGTTAAGGAACCTACAGTTCACAGGTTTGTCAAACTGTATGTTGAGTCAGTTTGGTTGATATCTGAATAAAGTACATGGGTGTCTTCTGTTTCATAAACTGCAGTTACTGAAACTTATCACTTATACTAATAGCCAAAGGAAAGCAGATGTATTTTGTACAGCAGCCTTGCAGGGGATAAATTTTTTAAATTCCTGTATAGAGGATCATTTGTGTAGGATAGTTCCTTGATATCAGGCATTCACGTGCACATATATTTACTTTGCAACCTTTTTCATTTGTTATTAGTGTTCTTTTGAAATGTTGCACATTTTTGGTTCAGTAATGCTTCACAGTTAAATGCATCTTATTGATAGATTTGTTACGGTGGGAAAATCCTGGGAAACTTCACATTGTGGGAGTTGCATGTTTGCCAATTATCAAGTATTATTTTAATACACTACCTGACTTACGTGTTGTAGGTACTCGACTTATTGCCAGCTAGGCACTTAGGCTTCCATGGAATACAGTTTAAGTTTTCATGTTTCCCTTGCTCTGTTGTAACTCATACCTGGATATATTAATCTACATGCATATCCCTCCTGATGAACCATTGGCATATTCTGTTGTCATCTGGTGGTACATAACCTCACAAATGATTGCCATGATGAAATGTGAAGGAAACAACCAAAATATTTAATTTGGATGTTGGCTATGTTGTAACAAAATTATTGTGAATTAAGAGATGTATTTTACTGAATTTTATCCCATCTGATAAGTTTATGAGGAGCAAGATCTTAATATTTTATGTTTCTCTTCTTGTCTGCAGATCTTATTTTGGTTTATTTTATCTGTAATGAATATTGTATGTTTATGAGATAATTAGGGTTCCACCATCAAAGAGTACCATTTTAAGTATGAGTATTTTTACATTAGAAATTTTAATGTGTTTGCCTGTTATGTAATGTTTTTACTTATAATTCCAATCTACTTATAAATTAATTATGTAAGTATGAGTAACCCTGACTAAACTGCAAAATACCACTGTTGCAAGAAATATATTTTGTTAAGCGGAAGATCTTAATTTTCACTTAGAAATAATTTATAGTGCTGAAATATCTTAACTAATTCTAATTGCTGTCATATATCATTCTGTTATTTGTTTAATAAATTTCTAACTTTAACATTATGATTAAGGAGAGCAAAATTAATTTATAGTTGTTTTGTTTTATGGTTGTGGTATGAAGGTCACGGATACTCATGATACTTTATGAAATGTAAAATGTTTGGAAATATTCACTTTGCTATAAGAACTTCAGTGGAGTAGCGGAAAATATTAAGTATCTTACACACAGTCTATTGATGAGATTTGTTAATACGTTCAAATTGAAATTTCTCAGCACAGCAGTGCACTGTCTGCAGTTATTGAAGCAGAAATTGCCCACCTCTTGTTGAAAGTTGCATGTGTTGGGATGGGGGCATGTTTTACTTTTTGAGTGTTGTTTAATTTATTTCTGTTGTGTTGTGTTTGCTGTCATTGCTCAGTGGTGTATAAAAAGAGTGGACTCAGCCCATATGGGAGCCCATCACGGAGCCCCATGGGGGGCCCAGCTGGTATGTTGGTTTTCCCATTTCCAAACGATATAGTAGATGCTAGAGACCTTGCTTAAATATCTGATAACTTCATTACAGAGTGCATGCTGTGTTAACTGCAGAGTGAAAACTTAACTGCAGTGAATGAATGTTGCTAACTGATACAAGACTGGATGAAGTTCCATTACTACCTTAAGACACATGGAAATACTAATAACATTAAAAATTAACTGTGTACATAAAGAACTTGGATGTACAGATTTTCTTACAGCACACTGGATTAACTGAGTAAGAAATTTTTAGTACAGTCCAACATAAAATACCTGTATGGGCCTGACAGCACCTTTACGTGCAAACTCTTTCTTGTAGTCATCTTCTTAGGTATTAGTTTTCCATGTAATATCATTTAAGAATCTGGATATTGTAGTTACCCTTTTTGTCTGTTTTACTTCTGTTTATGGGGCTCTGTTATTTGTTATTTAAACTCCCACCTGTTTAAAACATTTTTTAATAATTATATTTTGAATTTCCAAATTTATATGTATAAATTTTTAAAAAAAATTGTCTATAGTTATGAATATATGTAATATTAGGTTGTATAATACATGTAATAAAATATTACAAGTTGCCTAAATGTGGGAGAATATATGATAGTGACAATTTTTGAACTTCTGTAGTGTGTTGCAGGTAGCAGAACATTTTATATGTCTTTTTGCATAAATTGTGCTTCTCACTGATGGATCATTTAGTCCTACAAAATATTTCTTAATCTACTTGTACACATATATAGTAATGTATTTATTTGAACATTATTAACCATGTCTCACTGCTTACATGCTGTCCAACAGGTCACACCAGCATTCTATTAAATCATTAACCCCAAAGTTGAAGTCCAACCTGTAATGCTGAGTCTATGTTGAGACAAATGAAATCTGTTGTTGAAGCTCGATGATTCTAGATATCTTATTAAAGATTCCAAGCCATAAAACACCCCTTTAAGTGCTAACATATCAATTAATTTTTCTTTATAAATCATTAGTATACTCGGGAAAACAAAACCATTTTTAAAGTGTGTTTTTTTAATATAAAATTGTCTATGGTCAGATTCAAACACAACTTTTAAATCGGAATGATGAAAAATATGTTGTGGAAAAATAAAAATTACTGTATTTAGACATCTGGATTTGAACTTTCATACATGATCTTCACATCAACACCAGTCCCCTACCGTGTGAACTGGTCTGCGAGGGAACGTAGGCAACTAACTGAAGCATTGCTTCCACCTCTGTTTTGGTTTTACGTTAATTAATATTTTTCTTTAAATTAGGCATACATATTGGTGTCTTTGTTTAACAGACATCCGGCATAAATAATGGTAGTTAATGGAAGGTATAGAAAAGCCACATGTGGACAAATACAAGAAAATTACAAATTACTGAAATTATGACACCAGCTGTAGACTTGCATTACTTATGGGACTTGATTTTTGTTGTACAGTGTGTACATGTTCTAGTTTAATTTAAATATAAGTGGATATAAATAATATGAAAATTATGTGGGAACTTGTGACAAACCAATAATATTTTAATATTCCCACTACCAATGTTGGGCAGCACATTTAGCAAAGTTAATAATTATGGAAAATCATAAGAATACTTACTGATGTTGCAAACATACATTACTCTGATGGAGGTTAGAAACAAGTGTGTTGATGAAAATCTGCATATTTCTGTGTGTGACATGGGTTTCAGTTATCAGGCTTTTACATACAGTAACTATTCTCCTGCTCAAAGGTAACAAAATATATGAAAAGAGATTTCATATAAAATACTGTTTAATGACTGAATTAGACTATTATATAGAATATTATAATATATTGAAAATTGATGGTTTATAATATATTGTTGTGTGTTCCCTTAATGTCTGCACAAATCCATATTTTCAATTCCTTGTTATTTTTTTTTTTTAGTTTTTATTGTGTTTAGGAACTGAATCTTTGTCTTCATTTGTTCTGCAAAGTTGTTTGTTCAGTTTTATGTACATTCCTGTATAATTTGCTTAATGTGTTATATTTCTTATATCTGCCATTTGTTGAATACTTTAATTATAAGCAGAAGATGAAAACAGTTTTTAATATAGTACAGTCTTATTTTTGAGTCATTTATTGCAGATCTTTATACATATGAAATGAACAGAAAATGCATCTAAATTTAACACATTGTGATTCAATATTTAGTGTATTTCAACCAGTGTGTTACAGCATGAGTGAATGTGAAAATTTCTGTCTTCTGGGTTGTTGCCCTGTGTAGTCTGGTAGATGTCCACCAACGTTTCAGAGGTTATGCTGCCTCCGTCATCAGGGCGATTCATCTGCCAGACTACACAGCACAACAACTGAGAAGACAGCAATCTTCAGACTCACTGCTGTGAAAACCTCAAACCCTACACG